TCCCACAGTCCAAAAATGTGCAGGTTAGATGGATTGGCCAGGCTAAATTGCCCATAGTCTCCAGGGATATTTAGATTAAGGGAATTAGCCATGGGAAAGTGCAGAGTTACAGGGATAGTGTAGGAGGGTGGGTTAGGGTAGGATGCTGTTCAGAGTCAATGTGGACTCAATGGGTTGAATGGCCTGGTGCCACACTGTTGGGATTCAATGTTACCAAAATGTTTCTTGAATTATCCAATTACCTATTTTACAATCTGTGTTTGAATCTGCCCTGCACCAGTCCCTCAGGCAGTGCATTGGAGATCCTAAACCATCACTGCATTAGGAAGTTTCCCCAGGTTGTCTCTGGTCCTTATTCTGTTCAGCAGTGCAGTCCTTTTGGCTCTCATCCTTTCTGCTAACAGTAACACTTTTATTTTCCCCTATCCATTTTTGTCCAGATCCCTCCTGATTTTGAAAGCCCGCTACCCAAACATTCTCTCAACCTTCTGTCCTGTCCTGCAAGGAATTGCGTGTTGACTGCATCATCAGGGATCAGTAACACCCCAAGGCAGCTTCTCCCCAGGTCTGTGCCATTCTCCGCTGTCGTTGCTTCACAAGGAGAGCCATCACTTTGAACACTCCTGGGCTGGTATAGGATATGAGTGGAGGGATGTACTGCTCAGGCCGTATAAGGCTCTGGTCAGATCTCATTCTGAATGCTTGAGAGTGGTTTTGGGCTCTGTATCTAAGGAGGGATGTGCTGGCATTGGAGGGCGTCCAGAGGAGGTTTACAAGAATGATCCTGGGGATGAAAGGCTTGTCATATGAGGAGCGGTTGAGGACTCTGGGTCTGTACCCATTGGAGTTCAGAAGGATGATTGAGATCTCACTGAAACTTACAGAGCCCTGGAAAGAGTGGATGTGAGGAAGATGCTTTCACCAGAGGAAGAGACTAGGACCTAAGGGCACAGCCTCAGGGTGAAGGGACGACCCTTTAGAACTGAGATGAGGAGGAATTTCTTCAGCCAGAGGCTGATGAATCTGTGGAACACATTGCTGCAGAGCACTGTAGAGGCCAAGTCATTGAGCATCTTTAAGACAGAGAGATAGGTTTTCGATTAGCAAGGGAATCAAGGGTTACAGGGAGAAGGGAAGAGAATGGCTTGAGAAGTGTATCAGCATGGTGGAGTAGACGCAATGGGCTGAGTGGCCTAATTCTGGTCCTCTATCTGAAGGTTTAATGGTCTAATTCTGACCTAATTTACTGAACAGACAATGAGCACTCAGAACTACACTGGTCACAAAAGATTGACTGTAAGACAACCGTGTCTTCCTTTGGATAGCAAGATTTAGAATGGTACCTTGATGTAGAGTGATTGGCATCTTGCCTGCTATTGTGTGGTAAATGGTTTGCATTTATATAGCACCATTTTTATAAGAACGTCCAAAAAGACTATGACCAGCAGCAAAGTGCCATGATTGTTGTTAGATGAAATGTTGTGGCAGCTAGTTTGTACAGAGCAGGTCCACAAAGGGATGTAGAAATAATGGTCACAAACTCTGTTTATGGTGATGAGGCCAGCTGTTCTTCTATCAGTGGTGCAGTGGGATCTTTCTGTGCTGCATCTGATCTGGTTGAGTTTGCAGACAAGCTGTTTGCAGCTCTAAGAAGCTCCCAGCAATGCTGCGTTCGCTCAGCACTGGCTATGAAGTGCCACCCAGTGAATGGCAGCGTGTGCTGGAAAACATTTCAGTTGACTCTCTCCCGTATGTGGTGGGTTTAAATCCCGACAGTGAAGCTGTGAGGTAAGGGGAACGGGATCAGGTCATGTCATTCTGTCATCTGGATGTTGTGAGGAAACCAAAGGAGGGAACACATTAATTCATGTTTCTCAGCGGAAGAAGAATATTCTTTTTGGGGTTAAAAAAAGGAGACCTACCTTCGTGTAGCGCCTACCATGACATCCCCAATAGCCATTTAAGTTTTTTTTCTGTAACGTGCTGTGATTGCGGTAATGTAGGAAACACTGTAGCCCATTCTGTACTCATCAAGCTCCCACTTGTGACAATGTCCAGATAACCAGCCTTTGGGTCATTGGTAAAAGGGGGCAAACATTGAGGCAGGACATTGGAGAGAGCGCCCCTGCTCCTTTCTTTCAAAACAGTACTTTTGGGATATTCCCTCATTAGTCAGCAAGGTGTGGGACATTGTGGGGGAAGTGAGCAGGATTCTAGCAGCAGACTTATCGATGGGCTGAAGGTTGTGAGTCTGGCCGTCGCAATAGCCCCATCAGGTAATAGTGAAGTCAGGTTGAATATTATTATCAACAAATAGGGGAGGCAATTGGCCCTAGTGGTATTATTGCTGGACTATTAATCCAGAGACCCAAGTAATGGTCTAGGGACCTGGGTTAGAATCCTGCTATGGCAAATGGTGGAAATTAAATTCAATTAATGGGTATATGAATAGTAAGGGTTTACAGGGATATGGGCCAAATGCTGGCAAATGGGACTAGATCAATTTAGGATATCTGGTCAGCATGGACGAGTTGGACTGAAGGGTATGTTTTCATGCTGTGCATCTCTATGTTTCTATGACAATAAAAGTCTGGAATGAAGAGTCTAATAATGACCATGAAACTGTTGCCAACTTCGGGAAATCCTATGTGGAAACTGCCATCCTTACCTGCCTTCGTCTGTATGTGACTCCAGACCCATGGTAATGTGGGTGACTGTTAATTGGGATGGGATGGACAGGAAGTGCTGGCCTAGCCAGCGACATCCTCACCCCATGAGTTAAAACAAAATGGATTCAGCTGTCAAAGGAGGTGGCTATCAGAGTTTCAGAAGTGCATATGCAGTGTTTGAGGCGGCTCATACATGACCTCTGTTCCACATTCTGTGGTCAAGTCCTGACACCTCTACGGCATCTTTGTAGATTCTATTCCAGATCCCGAAATCAGAATTCTTTCTTTTCGAAACAAAAGCCTAGCAATTGACGTGACCGGAAAAATAAATTGGCTTCTGGTTTCTTGGGACAGGTCACGTATGAACTAGATTAGCAAATCCAAACTGTTTCGTAAACATAATATCTCAAGCAGAGACACTCCCAGATTATAAAGCACCACAAGAAACTGTGTGTTCCTCACTTCTTCAGCATTTTTGACATGATGCCAAAGATAACAGAGGGTTAAGAGTGTGTTACCAATTCCTTAAGGATCCAGTTGAATTCGGAGTTAATTATTTTTCTGGAGTTTTCTTTGGGAAATCCTACGGTTACCTACTCTCCAATCTTCGCAACTTATTTTTCTTACTTTCTTTAACTACCTGTTCTGGGGTTGTAAGCCATTCCCTGCTGAGAGGCCGGATCAATTGATCTGTCCCCAAGCCTTTCAAGGTATCAATCAGTGTTAGTTCAGTGGGTGTTAGTAGCTTATACGTTTTCATTTAGTTTCCAAGTGTTAATACATTTCCATTTCAGGAAAGGCTGTTATTCTCTCTAAAGGCTTTGGGACAGGATGTGTTCACGACAGGCGCTATATAAATGTGCGTGTCTTTCCTTTCTGACTTGCCTTCTGTTTTCCCCTACTGCCTATGGTTGAAAATTTGCATCCTCACGTTCGTGTAGCTCCATGGCCTTGTCTCTTGGTCGCTCTGTAACTTCAGCAGGCTTACTGCTGCTGTTCCTCCCAAATTGTCAGTCTTGTGTGAGTGTCCTTACCTTCCTCCCACCATGGGCAGCCACATTACCTCCTGGAAACTTTCCTTCAAACCCTTGCACCTCATCACTTCACCCTTCCCTCCTTCTATGGCCAACTTTCAAATCCACTTCTTTGGTCTAATTTTTGATAACCCACGTCCCCTTAACCTGCTCTCGGTCTCTGTTTTGTCTCTGTGTCCATTTTGTTTTGGATATATTCCCCTTGGAATGTCTTAGAGTCCACAAGTTGTTGCTGTTGTGGAAATGAGGAGCCATTAATCGTGACAAAGTGTCTTCAATAAAATGTATTAATGAATTGGTTGCTTTTTAAGCCTCCAATGTAATCATTTTCTGGGGAAAGAAACTGCTTTTGTGAAGCTGGTGAGGAAAGTAGAAGTGATGGGCCTGACAATCTCATTAAAAGGCTTCCTCACTTCATCTAACCGTGCCCTGTTTTGTTACAATCAAGTTAAACTTAATCACCTGTGATATTCCCCATTTGCAAAGCTATGTTAGCTGTTTATTTGTGCAGTTTTTTGCCACTTTCCTCTTTCATTCTATTAATGTATCATTTTCCATTCTGAATGAATAGAGCATACAAACTATTGACTAGCTGTTATTTTTTGTCCTTCTGGCTTTGCCTAACCCCGAGTGCCTTCCTGTCCTTTCTTGACTTCTTTTCAGAATTTCTCCATGCCCAGTTCTTTCTGTTCTGTCTGAGAGAGTGTGTCTGTCTAAAGGGTTAAACATATTAACTATGGAGACCATGAAGCAGGTAAGGTGTAGCAGCACCTAAAGGAGTGTTAATCGCTGGTTGAACTGAATTCCAGAGTGTTTCCCAACAGTATTGTGAGCCAAGCCGGATCGAAGTTTGACTGAAGACTGAATAAAGCAGGAATGTGTTCTATGTGGGAATGATTGGCACCTTGGCAATCTTGTGTCTGATAAACCACTCACCCAACCAGTTTGCATGCTTACAATATTTGTACCTGTCACGACACACCTGTGAAGGAAGAGAAGTATCAGTCAGTGTTGACAGAATGCAAAGTTAATTGGAATCACATCAGCTGAACTGAGAAACTCCCCATGGTTGGCATAATTTAAATTCTGTTTGCATTTCTCTACGCGATATCTAAGGATTGGTGACTTTCATACTTTTTATAAAGACTGGCTTTAAGAGCCTGAGATATTGACAATGTAAAGTCCTGTTGGAATGGTAGGAGTTAACAAATGCTTTAAAGGGTTTTGCACAGTGCATGTCTCAGAATGGTCTACTGTCTTCTTCGTACATTCCAAACCCACCCCAGTGATCATTTCCCGTGTTGGCAAAGGGCATTAGAGAATTTAAACTTGTTTCCCAAAATAACTGTGCCGAGGGGAATGCCAGCTGATTGGTTTAGAATTTGGCACTTACTTTGCTTGTGCCAGTTTTCTCGCCTGCTCCTAGTTCTTTCTGGCTATTGAGCTTTGCATTTTATTTCTACTTTCTGTTTTGCACCCAGTATGACTCCAGTCTTTAAAAGCGCCACAGGGAAGTGGGGAGTAAAGTCGAGAACTGAAATGTGAGGGTGTCGTGACTCATGGTTAGGTGTGGTTTCTGCCACTGTTGAAGTGTCACTCGTGTATATAAAGTATATCAGCTGGATGCTCGCCGACTGAGCAGTGAGCCCCCAACTGCAGGTAAAACAGGAAGGTGCCACAACGCTACGTTTCAGCCAGGAAGAAATGAGCTGTCCCTTTGGGGTCCAGAAGATATCTTTGGAACCAGATGTGACACATCGGCTTGTTCAAGCATACAGGTAGAAACTTCCCTCCTTTATGTCCCCATCTTGTCAAAGTTTATTGTTTAAACCTTTATCCGTTCTGTCTGAAGGAAGTGCTTTATTATTTATTTAGAGGCATCTGTGCAACCTGCTGGTACAGGATATCCTTCTGCATGCTTTTCTCTTTCTCGTTAATCCAGTCATAATTGCATTTAGCGGGATGTGGATTTTGACTGAGTTAGTTCTCCTTCAGTCTGTCTCGCTTCACCACTTTCAGTTCAGTGGTATTTTATCAACGGCACCGATTTGGTGTGCAGTGTCCTAAAGGTGTGAATTCAGCGTCATTTTGTTCATGCAGAAAACTAATGGGCCAAAACAGCAGAAGAGAATCATTTTAGCTGGCGATTAAAATACGCCACTTGTGGCTAGTGTAAGTCTGAGGGTGCAGAAGGCAGTGGTGAAGTAGTGCCAGATGTCAGGCCTTTCTGTAGTGTGTGTGGTTGATGTGGGTGGGGGGCGCTGGTGCGGTGTTGGACTGGGGGTGGACAAGGTCAGAAGTCACATGACACCAGGTTATAGTCCAACAGGTTTATTTGAAAACACATAAGCTTTCGGAGTGCAGCCCCTTCGTCAGGTTGCGATTTCAAATAAACCTGTTGGACTGTAACCAGGTATCGTGTGAGTTCTGACCTAATGTGTGTGATTGAGAAATGCACAGTTTATGACCCCGCTGATTTAAAATTGCTGGAGCGCGAATCTTCTACAAAATGCCATTTCCAAGAAAGCAGTTATGTCAAGGCGTTCCTGTAAGACTTTGATGAAATTTAAAACCTGCCTCTGGTGGGGGGGGGGGGGGGATTGGAACTGATTGCAAGTTTCATGCCTTTATTTTGTAAGCTTCCCAGTGGACAAACCTTTCACCAGGTGGTTACTGGACGATGACCCTCTGCAGAAAAATGGCACCTTGTGGGCCATTTCCAACAACAAGGCATGTGAGTCTTTGAAATTCCCTCCCTCAAAAGGTAGTGCATGCAGAATTGATAAATATTTTGAAGGTGGAGCTAGGTATATTCTTGCTGACTGGAGTGGGGTGAAGGATTCTTGGGGGGGAGGGTGGGGATGGAGGTGTTATGCACGAATATAGAGTTGAGTTTAGAATCAGACCAGTCATGATCTTATTAAATAACAGAATGGGCTGGAAGAGCTGGGTGGCCCTTGTTCCCTGTTTGTAAGGGGTTACTGTATGGATCCCAGCAAGCATTTGACTGAGAAAGCAGCCTTTTTTTTTAAATATAAAGGCAGTAATACTTGTAAATGAATGTACTGGGGCTCCTGTTTTGTGGTGTAGAGAACAAGTTGGACCAAAGTGTCTCATTTCCATGTTTTACTGGTTCTTCCATGTGGGAGGCCTCTTGAGCAGGAAGCACTGAGCGACCACACCCAATCCAGCTCTTATCTTTGGTTCACACACTTTGAACTTTCCGTGGGAGGTCAGTAGATAGTTCTCGGGAGTTAGCGACAGAGGCCCAAACATCTTAAGAGTCGAGTGCATGCAGACCCTGAAAACCTCTTAGGATCATAGAAGCCCTACAGTGTGGGAGCAGGCCATTTGGCCCATCGAGTCCACACTGACTGTCCGAAGAGCATTCCACTCAGACCCATCCCATCCTATCCTATCCCTGTAACCCTGCTTTACCCATGGCTAACCCACTTAGCCTGCAGATCCCTGGACACTATGGGCAATTTCCCGTGGCCAATCCACCCTAACCTGCACATCTTTGGACTGTGGGATGAAACTGGAGCACCCGGAGGAAACCCACGCAGACACGGGAAGAATGTGCAAACTCCACACAGACAGTCACCCGAGGGTGGAATCGAACCCCGGTCCCTGGCGCTGTGAGGCAGCAGTGTTAACCACTGAGCCACCGTGCTGCCCTACTTCTTCACTACGTTGGCCTCAGTCCATGTGGACTGTGTCCTACCTCACCCTATCATCTTGCTAGATGAAGATGTCATTCAGGAACAACACAACCTCAGTGAAAGAGCTAATTCTGGGTATTTGCGGGCCTTGCAAGGTGGAGCATTGACAGAAGGGCCCAAAGCCTCTCCACCAAACATAAGGTCTAGACGTGGAGTGAGGAGTTACGTTCTGCACTTGCCTGGACGATCAAGAACATTGGAGGAGCTCAACATAAAGTAAGGAGCCTGTTTGACCAGTGCTGTCCCCACCACTGTAAACGTTCATTTCACCCATCGCCTCGGCACAATGGCCACAGTGCTTCGCCAGTGAGAAGATGCAGTGTAGTGCCTTGTGAAAGCTTCTTTGATTGTACTTTCCAACACTATGACCTCCTGACCCCTGGAAGAAAGAACTTAGAAACCCAATTATCTGTAAACTCCCCTCCAAATCCCACACCTTCCTGATTCCCGAACTTTAACTGCACTGTTATTGTTTGCAATACCTTCTATTACCTAGCCCCCATGCTCTGGGATTCCTTCCTTGTACCTCACCTTTCCACCTCGAAAATCTTCTTAAAACTAACTTTTTTGACCCAAGTAATTGATGCCAGTTGCCTTGAGTAAGTTTTTTTGTTGTATTTAAAGTTCCTACAAGTTACCTTTTTTATGTTACGACAAAGTTGCTACATAAATAGGAGTTGTTGGGTTGGAAATATATCACCGCTCCCTCAGTGTCACCAAAAACCAGGGAACTCCTCCTTAACAGCACCATGGGTGCCCCTACACCACAAGGACTACAGCGGTCTGAGAGGACAACTCACCCTTACCTTTGAGGGCAAGGGAGGAATGGGCAACAAGTGCTGGCCTTGCCAGTGATGCCCACACACTGTGGACAAATAAAACGGATCTGAACTGGTCAGATTTGAACGGGTGACCTCTGTGTAGTAGTTATAGGCCCTTTCTTGGGAGAGGGTTTCAAACCAATTGAAGGCTTGCCGCTGGAACTGTGAACCTCTGGCCGCAAACAGAACAGGACTTGTCTGTGATGCCAAAGCAGTTGAATAGCCCGCTCATACTCCGTTTGGAGCGGCAGCACAATATCAATTGATTGCTGAGAGCCCTTGGCACCTGTGGTACTGTGACCCTTGTATAGTTCATGGCCAGGTAGAAGCGAGGGAATGGTAGTTTTAAAAAAATCAATTGGTGACCGTACTAACCCCTTCCGTCTGTAACCATCACGGATTTATAGGCTCCACCGACAAAGCGATCTGCCTAGGTTCCTGGTGTCAGGTGGAGGTGGGGTTTGGTGACAGGAAAGCTGCGTCATCATTGTGATGTTCTTTCGGTTCAAATTCCTGTTATTAACCGTTTCATTTCCCTCCTGATAAAAGTGGAACGACCGGAACCTGTATAACATGAAATGTTTGATTTCTTTAGGTGTGCCTGCCTGCCCAGAACGTTGCCATGCGCGAACGGAGCGCACTGACTCGCGTCACCCAGTTCAGCGAGGGCCCTGTGAATCTGCCTCCATCCTGCAACGTTGAAGAGCCCCTGTGCGGAGCGAAGGTTTGAACAAGCTGATTTATGGAGGCATGGGTGGGATCTGGCTCCCATTGGCTGAGCTGGCGTTGACTCATACATTCTTTGACCAGCTGTTGCACTTTGGATTCTCTGCAGAGCGTGTTTAAAGTCTCCGGAATTGGCTCGAGCTGATGGGCTATTTTGGACGCCAGCTGCAAGAGTCGTCTGGGCTCTGATGAGTGTGTGGAGAGATGGATGAGGATAAGGGAAGCCGCCTCACTGGCCAAATGTGGGTGTTTCTTTGGCAGTGTCTTAGCTGGTTGTTGTGTGCCATGAGAAGAAGCAATCAGCAAGTATACTGCCGTAGAAATGCTTCACTGAATCCCGGCCCAGTGCACGATCTCCCTCAGCTACTCCCCACCTCCCTCTGCGAAATGGCACCTTTTTGAGGTTTCAAATAATCTTTTTGGTTTAAAATATGCTCTGAAGTAACAGGTGGGAATCAACTCTGAAAGAATAAATAATTGAATGCGCAAACATGAAATGTAAGTGTCAAATGTTGGGTCATTGTATTGGGGTTTTATTTATTTTAGTAATGAGGATGTTTGGTTAATCATTGCAAGTTAAACTGTGGATAAACGCGCCTCACCGTAAAAGATAGATCTCCTCCTCCCTCTCTCTCTCGGTGCTATCAAATCTCTCTCCATTTGGGCTTTATACCAGCTCAAGACTGTGACCATGCACAGGAGGAGGGAGTGTGGGTGATGGGGATTTTGAGAGATGCATCCTGACCCACATCTGCCCTCATCTTATTGATAGGATTTGCTAATGTTAGAGTGAATTTAAGACACTGTTGCCAAAACAAACTTTCGTTATACTGTGAGAGGGACAGTGTTAATAGATTCTGACCCAATTGGCGAGATTCAAACCAAGGCATATATATATTTACTTTTTGTGGAGAGAGATTTTTTTTTTCTTGTCCCCATCAAACATTCCCAGGGCAAGTACAGCACAGGGTTAGATACAGAGTAAAGCTCTCTCTAATTTTATAAACTGAAAGTAAATCTTCCTCCAACCCTTCCCCATCTCACACTGCCAGGACAGGTACAACATGGGGTTTGATACAGACTACTGCTCTGTCTACCCCCATAAACTGAAAGTAAAGCCTCCTCCAACTCTTCCCCATCAAATAGTCCCAGGACAGGTACTGCACGGGGTAAGGTACTGAGTAAAGCCTCCTGTACTCTTTTATAAACTGAAAGTAACAAAAATGGTTAGATGGGCACTGTGACAAAAATACGAACAAACATTTAATGAAACTCCCTAAATCAATATAACATTGACCAGGTTGATGATGCCTGTCTCAGTCCTCTGCAGTGTACACCCGGTCTCTGAAGGTCCCTTCTGTGCTGGTGAACATCGCAAGTTTCCTCTCGTTAGACATCTGAACACACACACAACCATAAACGACAAGCAGCCTAGCCCCATTAATGGGTGAGAGTTTATTGACCTGCTCTATCTTCCCTCTCTGTCTACACTCGGCGTCACCACTGTACCTTGTATGTTCAGACAATCAATAGCCACCACCTGCTTATTTTGAACTTAAATAAAATCAGCAACAAACTTTAAACAATATGGTTAACCAGACAATACCTGCATGGTGAACAGAGGATTGAACCTAGATGTTTGAGTGTTAGAAATGGATGTGTGCTTCCTTATTTCTGGGACTGTCTAGGGGAGAACTGTGTGTTACACTCACACAAAAACACAGAATTGTTACAGTGTAGAAGCAGACCATTCCGCCCATCGTACCTGCACCGGTTTTATTACCTTGTGCCAATCTCCTGGGTGGCACAGTGGCTCACAGCACAATAGACCTGGATTCTCCTCCACCCTCGGACAACAGTCTGTGTGGAGTTTGCATGTTCTCCCCGTGTCTGCGTGGGTTTCCTTTGGGTGCTCCAGTTTCCTCCTGCAGTCCAAAGGTATGGAGGTTAGGTGGATTGGCCATGGGAAACGTAGGGTCACAGGGATGGGCTGGGGGTCAGTCTGGATGTGATGCTTTTTGAAGAATCGGCGAGACTCGATAAGCCGAATGGCCTGCTTCCACACTGTAGGGATTCTATGATTCTGCCTTTTCCTCATATTCCTCAACACAATTTTTATCCAAATAATCATCAAAATCCCCTCTTGAATGCTTCCGCTATGATAGAATGCATTCCATACCTTAACTACGGACTGTGTGAAAATATTTTTCCTCACTTCACCTTGCTTCTCTTGCACGTCATTTAAAATCTATATCCTTTTGTTTTTTTTTTCTTTCTTTTATGAGTGAGAACACTTTTTTCCCCCAATCTACTCAAATTAACCTGCCCATGATTTTGGACACCTCTATTAAATCTCCTCTCAGCTGCCTTCTCTCCAGGGAGAACAGTCTCAACTTCTTCAATCTATCCTCCTCATTGAAGTTTCCGATTCACGGAACCATTCTTGTAAAGTTGGAGTTAGAGTGTATTGCTTCAGATCTAAAAGAATTGCAGAGAGACCATAAGCAACTGCTGGTGTTTCATTGTGAATAGGTGTCCTTGAGTTTTTCAGGCGTGTTACAATGTTTAGCTAAAGCATTTTGCTTCTGTTCATGGTTTGTTAGGTGTCCATTAGTTATCCAATTCGTATTTTCTAATGTTTGTTTGTTCAGTAAGTACAGTCATATAGTGCAGAAACAGGCCCTTCGGCCCAACTCATCCACGCTGACCAGGTTTCCTAAACTGATCCAGTGCCATTTGCCTGCATTTGGCCTATATCCCTCTAAACATTTCCTATTCATGTACCTGTCCAAACATCTTTTAAATGTTGTAATTGTACCCACTTCCACCACTTCCTCTGGCAGCTCATTCTATATACACACCATCCTCTGAGTGGAAAAAGCTGGCCCTTAGGTCCGCTTTAAATCTTTCCCCCATCATTTTAAAAATAAGCCCTCTATTTTGGACTCCCCAAACTGGGGAAAACACATTGGCTCTTCACCTTACCTATGCCTCATGAATTTATAAACCTCTATAAGATCACACCTTGGCTTCCTATGCTCCAGGGGAGAAAGTCCCAGCCTCCCCTTATAACTCAAACCCCCTCGTCTCAGTAAAGAACAAATAAGATCAAAGAATAATTCAGTGCAGAAACAGGCCCTTCGGCCTTTCAAGCCTGCATCGACACAGTTTGCCTTTCCATACCGAAATTGTCTTCACTTACAGGATCCATATCCCTCTATTTCCTTTCCATTCATGTCTTTGGCCAGGTGCTTCTTTAATGCTGCTATCGTGTCTGCTTCCACCTCCTCCTCTGGCAGTGCGTTCCAGGCACTCACCACCCTTTTGTGTGAAAAACTTGCCTTGCACATCTCTTTTTAAACTTTCCCTCTCGCACCGTGAACCTGTGTCCACTAGTAATTGACCCCTCCACCCTGGGAGAAAAAGCTCCATACTTTCAACTCTATCCATGCCATTTACAGTCTTAAACTTCTATCAGGTCGCCCCTCAACCTTGAAAACAAACCCAGTCTATCCAAGACAATACAGTGTGGAGCTGGAGGAACACAGCAGGCCAGGCAGCATCAGAGGAGCAAGCAAGTTGACA